TTCATAAAGCATTGGTCTGCGACAAGCTCTTCGGTTATCATGAAATCTTCATCTATTGGTATCCGTCTTGTGAAACACCATCTGAAAATAATACTGCAGCGCATAAGGTAGAAATTCGAACACGACCATATTCCTAACAGATCATTCGATATAAAATTCGCCATTATATATCACAGTAAATCAAAGATAATAATATGCAAATGACTGGTGATAACAGCTACATCGGATTTCAAATTTTAATTCTGTAGAAATTGATCTGCCAACTTTTATTAGAGTCTTCAATTATGAATACATGTAACAGAATACATCTAAACTGTTTTTCTTAGATAACTTTATGAATATCCCATCGTTGAATAAAATGTTTTACAGCATCTCGAAGCATAATTTAGTAGAATTGACATAAATGAACAAAAAACATGAATAAATAAATAAAGACTAATTATCTATCTTGTAATCTTCAACTCCTGTGAAAATCTTTTTTATACACATATAAATAATTTTTTTCCAATAAAATATCAATGTTTTCTATCAGTTGCAGATGTTAAAGTATTATGTGATTGCTCTTGTTTAAGAATTTTTTCATTGTTAGAGTTTTCTTCATCTTTTCCCATTCTCGAAATAAAAAAGAGATTCAGGTTTTGTTTTAAATTTCTTTTTAAGAGATCTTTCTATAATATATTGAGCTAACTTTCAACTATATTCAAAAAATAGCATAGAATTGAAAGTAAAAGATATCATTTACATTGAGCAAAACAGACTTTTTTCTTCTGCTCTTTATAATTTTTCTTGATGAGATTGTTCGACAATGTTGACTTTCTTCATGCTAGACGATAATTGAAAAATCCTTTATTTCAAATAGAATAAATTTCAATCATTTATGGAATATGACAAAAAAGAGAAGCCAACCTCTATATAAATGAAAACATAAGAAAGCAAAGCTAGACCTATATGAAAACTTTTTTTTTACAGGCATTCGTTTGTGGCTCTATCAAATGTTTGCTATAAATTAGAATAAATACAATAGAAAAGAGAACGAGGTTTGACATTTACAATTGGTATGTGTTTTTTATTCGGTATCTAATTTTTTTTGAAAAAATCTTTGATGACTCTCATCATTATCTGGTAAGAGGATGTCAAACTACGTTGACTAACACAGTTCATTGTCTGTGTATCAAACTTCTTTTTGTTCTTATTCTACAGAAAAAAAGCACTTATTGAAATTGACAAATATTTTTCAGAAACTTTTCCGAGATAGTTCATTCATCTTTCTTCTCCTCTGTATAAAAAGATCTCTGACAGACTGTGTAACATTTTATGTTATTTCAAGTTATAGAATCTATGAAATAAAAATGCACAGCAAATTTAAAGTTATCAAAAGATTTATTTTTTTACTTTTATTTTTGAACCATTTTCAGAACACATCTTGCTGTAGACATAAGAATTTTAACATAGTCTCTCCACAACAGCTCTCATGTATACTGCAAATTTCGTAAGATTTGAATGAGAGTAATCAAAGCCAATTTTGATGGAAAAAGAAAGAATACTGATTCAGAAAAAAAAAATATGGAAAGGTTAATTACAAAGAGCATGACATTCTCATTCTATTTGATCATTTAAAATTGTCTCTAATGATATAGAACTAGTTAAACAAAAGTTGACCAAACATGTTATACAAAGACTTTTCAAATATAATTTATTGATTTCATTATTTACTTGGACTAGTTGTTGTAATTTGAGAGTAAATCTTGCAGTTGTTTCTTCTTCATCTTCAGATATACTTTCATTCTTTCTTATTTGTTTGTCTTTGATATTCAAAAAACATTGAAAATTAATATTGTTTTCTTCTATATTAATTAGAACTATGGCAAAAAAAATACTGAAATTTTTAAATGAGAATACTAGCCATTGTTTCAATTAATTCTACAATTCAATAATGAGAGAAACAAAGAAAAATTTCTTTGAAATCTGTGAAATAATAGTTATTAGAAGTATTATAGGAATAATATGATTATTTTAGTAAATATAGACTTAATTCTAACGATATTAACATGACAATAATATTGATGCAGTAACTTCTATGATCGTTGTTTTCGCTGATTAGTAGTGAGTGTATTAAAGATGTAAGATAATCATCATTACCATCATCTGATTTGATATTATTTTGATTTTTATCTGTTTCTATTTAGGTGATAACAATTTTCTAAAATAATAATTGAAAATATTAGATTGAATTATACTTATCAAATTTAGATTATATAGAAACAAAGTACTTTGAGATATTATTTTACAATTAACAATTAACAATAGAGTTTTGTTAAACACCATAACAAAAGAATGAAATCAATTGAAAGTAATATTGTCCAAAGTGAATTCATCAATCTTTTGTATAATATCGTATACTCATCCTTATGCATACGAAACAGTCACGATATTTGGAATGATTTTCATTTGATATGTAAACAGTAATATCTTCTGATTTTATTTTCTAAAACAAAATTAGAAAAGAAGTTTATTCTTACCTACTAATGTTAATCGCACGCCTTGATAATGAGATAAAAAGAAGATAAGTAAACAATTTGGAAAAAAAACAAAATGAAGTTTGTTACACTCTTCAGCTACTGATTTCAAATTATAGAATGCACCATTTGCATCAATTGAATTTTTTTAATATTTATTGATTTGTGAAGCAGAAGTAAGAGATAAAATTTTTCTTTTTTCATCAGTAGATATTCCTCGATTTATATTATTTTCTATATCATAATTATATCATGCGCATGTCACTCAAGCAATTACATCGAGCTGCATTCATTTGTGTGATTATCAATACAGAAAAATAATATTCCAAAAAAAGAAAAAAATCTCTGAATATGATAGTATGAATGAAAAATCATTAAAATTTTTTCCACATTAGTTTCTAGATATATTACTGAAGAGAAGAGCCCATTAAAAGTTGAACGAAATCTAACAATTCAAAATATTTTCAGTGTAAAATGTAAAAGTTTGGAGAAAAATATTATATTAGAATATGCAGTCCTTGAAAGAATACTCAAATACATTCATAACAAAGCTAACATAAGCAAAATCTATTGTATACCATATGAAAGACTAAAAAAATTTCATAGCAACTAATGTATTTATCAGTGAAATATCCATGTTGTGTCAAACTTTATTTCATTGTCTTTGATCGTATTGGTTTAAAAGAAAAAAAAAAAGCTAAAATTATGGTTTGGCTTTATTCTCACTGATATCTACATACGTATCCTATTTATTCAAAACAAAAAAGGAAATTTTGTTTTTTCTTTTTTTTATAAATGTAGCTGAGTATTCTATGAAAGAATATATATAACATCAATATTCTAGTATAATATTTGTCTCTAAACTTTAATTGTTTACGCTGAACATATTTTCAACTGTCAGATTTCGTACAACTTTTGATGAGCTCTTCAGTAGCATGTTTAGAATTTAATGCTAAAAGAATTTTGATTATTTTTCATTCATACTATCATGTTCACAGATTTTTTGCTTTTGTTTGAAATAATTTTTATTGTGAAGATTATTTTGCTGCATTGATAATCATAAGAATGAATACATTTTTTTTAATCGCTCTAGTGATGTATGCATGATATAATTATGATGTTGCAAAGTCGAATGAGTTGGTAATAGAAACAAAAAAAGTTCCATCCTATATACATCGAAAAACTAATTGTTTTTATGAAAAAATGTCTCATACTTCAAGATGATTGTCAAGAGTTGTAATTTTGATATCGAAAATAATATAAATCGAGGAATATCTGCTGACGAGAAAGAATTTTCATCTCTTATGCTACTTCACAAACCAGTACATATAAAAAATATAAGTGTATCCGAAAACTTATTATTTTGATTGTAGATGATGATAGGTTGTTTCCTTTTATCTTACCTTGATAGATGCTTCACCAGCTTGTTCAGTTATTTTTGTAGTAGCAATTTTTTTATGTTAATTCATTCCGCATGCCGTTACATTTAAATAATTGGCAAAGCAAAATTTCTAAGAGTGTCTTAGCCAGACATTCGCGTCAGCGATAGTTCATTTGAATGTATACAGTTTTATCTTCGTACTGTAATGTCTCATTAGAATATCTTTTAAGAATAATCATTGAGAATGAAGAAAGTATTCAGATGGCTATCATGATTTAGTTTTCTTCAAAAATCATTATAAAAAAAAATATCATAAGAAAATCGTTGTGTAATTTATGAAATACAAAAATACACTCTTAATGACACGTTCTGGGTTGTACAACTGTAGTCTAATAGTTATCAACAACATTGACTAAATATAGTTAGTGCACACGAGTATCAGTATTCATCAAGGATCGGAATAAAACAATACAGAAAGAGCATAGTTTTGATAGAGTTGGTAACTCATCGTATATATTCATCATCTCAACGACTATAACATAAATCAATTCCCTCAATGAAAGCAATCTTTTGATCGATAATATCCATTTTTTCATGATGAGACCACAAAAGTACACAACGTTTATTATTATGACTTGAATGTCGAGCAATCCTAGATATGCAAGTAAAGAGCTAGTTGTGTTATTTTTCAATAAAACATTCCGTAGGCTTTAATAAATACTGTTGTACTTGTAGAAACTAATTTTATTTCTATATATAAACTATTTAAAACTGAAGCAAATGGTATTTCCTTATAAAGAATTACATGAACACGAACTTCGACATCCTTAAATTTATATCAAACATTTTAACAAGCATGAATAAAACAAATCAACCTCTTACAGCTATTTTTTCTAATATATTATCAAGTCGAAATGTTTTCTCATATGTTTATCTAATAAAAATAAATTCAGATGAAAGCCACTAGTTTATAATAAAAACTTCTTCTTTAGCTGTTCAAAGTGCTTTAGCATTAGCTGACATATCTGATTTATCAATAATAAACCTATATTAAACATTCTACTTTAATACAAAATAATTTTATCACTTTACCAATAAGCTAATTAAGTTTCTCGAATAGGTGCATATGAATTGAATCGATTTCGTGTTTCATTGACAAAATCTTTTACTTGTTCAGTTAAATTTAATAAATGTTGTGTCCATTCATTACAATTTTGTGCTGTTCGACATTGAATAAATAATATATGCAGTGAATTGTTTATTTTAATATCATCATCATAACTACCTACTATGTTGAATACCAGTTGAAACTTGAAAATCATGATCAATTAACATAGGAAAACATATTTCATGTATACCAGGTTGTTTATCAACTATATAACTATCTTTAATAATAAACTATCTGTATTTAACAAAATAAAGATCTCTCTATGAAAAATACAATTCATAAGAAAAAAGATGCGTATTTTGGACTATCATGACGTTTCCATATATCACAAAAATATGATGCATGCAAGAAAGCATGTTGATGAGGATTTCAAAGTTACATTGAATGTGCAGAATTAGATGAGATGTCAACTGCAATTGACTAACTATTCTTGTATTTCCTTCTTAGTTCCTTATTATTTGTAAACATTCATGTTTTTCAACAACTTTTTACCTTCACATTGGTAATCAATACTAACAGTGTTACATGAAGTAGGCATCAAATTTGTAGACCAAAATGCTGTTTTTAATGTTATCTTTACAAAAATTTACCTTAAACTTTCAATGAAAAAAATGTATCTTTTTGTCCATAACATCTATTTGTACCCGCGCCTACTCAGATCCGGAGTTATACCTCACTCCACATCTTCCTCTTTTCTCTCGCAGTCTCAGAAACCATCGAGTATTTCATCGCTATGAGCCTTTAAAGAACAACGAAGACAGATTAAATCTTCATCTAGTGTTATCTGGGTGTGGGTGTGTGGATAGTAATCTAATCATCTTTTACACCCACACCTAATTCTATCGTTCTATCGAATAATGAAAACTACATTCATGCTTCAAGTATAAACTATAACATTCTGATTGATCAGTTTAACTATCACATGACCACTCGCAAACCAAACTATTAGAAATATATGTAATGTTCATATGAAATGAATTCAGCCAATATTCGCCTTTATCTTTTAGTGCTGCTACGAAGTTTGTTTATCATTCTGTGTTTTTCATTTATCGTACCAGAACAATTCAATATTGCCGACAATTTTACTGCAATAGTGATATTTATCATTGATTCTTCAACATTCTATAAGAAAATATACAATTTAATAATTGTACAGATCTGTTTACGGAGTGACCCAATACTATTGCATACTAATTCTGTTTGAATAAGGTTTTAATGAAATTATTAAGTGTGCTTGATAATTCGAAACGATTTAATTCAAGAAGCTTTTCTTCCAAATAACTAATATACCAGTTTTTATAATAGATGAACACATCAGATAAATGAAATATGTATTCAATAGAACATCGATCGCATGTTTCTGTACATGTTTGATAGTTGTATTTCGTTGTGTGACACATTTTCTTTGAAGTTTTCTTTTGTTCAGATTATTTGAACTTCTGTTTCGAAATAAATTTTTATTAAATGGTGAACGATATCGACATTATCATAACCCTATGTACAATATGATGAGTGTCGTCAGAATCCTAATATCATCAGAATTTTTCCCATGATAAAAACTGTACCTGCCCGAAATCTCTTATCTCATTCGACACTTTTCTGGATAGTTACAATGTCATTATTATCGACATCATAACATCTAAAGTTAATCAACTATTATCTTATTCTACCAAGTTAATAAACAATCTATTTGAATTCAATATAACGCATTGCATAGCAACTCTGATTTCAACCCTGTTTCGGTGAAAAAAAAAATTTCTTTATGTTCATGACTTTCTTCCATATCTTGAGCAAGATAATCATATCAAATGGAAACAGCTTTAGGCACTACTTAAGCATTTTCAGTCATTTCTGTTGCTTGCGCTTCTTTTTTTCGTGCATTATACACATATACATGAAATTCAATTTTTTCCCCACCGCATTTCCGAATGAGTCCTAACCAAACAGATTATCATAAACCAACCATGCTCCCAACCGTCACACATGAAAACCTACTCGCACTGCAAGCTAACGAAAGCAATCCTTCCTTAGTGCCTTTTATCTTTTCTACAAACTAATTTACATTCCCCATTCTTAATACCTATTTCAGAAATATCACATAATCACGTTCAGTTTTCATCTCCATATTCAAACTGAACGTCACAAGCCTCATATAAAGCAAAAAGATCAAACAAACAACTTCAGACTAGACAAACCGTACATAAAATACGTACCAGTACGTACACACATACGTAATCAATCAAATCAATACTCTTTCATCTTAGGCTAATATAATACTATTGATCTTCTTTACGTGTTCCCCTACAATTTACCAACTACACAACATTGCCTAGGCTCCGAGTGTACGTTGATATCAACGGACATACACCTCATTACATTTCTAAAAGCGACTCGAACTTCTTCAGAGACTTATCTAACGCAAAACTATCTTTATCCCCATTCAATTCAAGCAAAAATAGAAATGTGTACCAATACATCTGCTACATAGAGATCCACAACGACTGACATCTCTACAAAGATAAAATTTCTGCTCTCGCAGTAAAACATTTTGCTGCTGCATTAGGCAACAACACGGTGACCCTCATTCTCTCTTCATCTTTCTCATATACCCATCTGCACTTTTTCACACAGACACTCACCACATTAGTTCTCCGAGACAATCAAGTCGGAGACAAAGGAGCACAACATCTGGCTGATTCGTTGGGAAGGAGCATGAGCAGTGTGGGTGCTCTGAAGGATATTCTAGATAGAGGAGGTTTTATGATCTAGGTTGAACAGGATGTCGTTGTGTACTGTGTGATGCAAGATAGAAGGAGACGATGTTGTTTCCTGTGAATTGTGAGGCTTGAGGAGTGCGATGTGGGTGAGGGTGGTGTTAGTATATCGTATGCTTGCAGAGTGTGGAACTGAAATTTGATGTGAATGTTGGGATTTCCTGCTGCTGAATAATAGCCTATTGTTGTTTTCCACTGTAGTGTGTTGCTATCTCACTTCACTGTGGGTTTATTAGCGTAGAATTCGCATTTGTCGTTTGGATCGTTATGGCATATTGTTTTTAGTCGTGGATATTGCACTCTAATTTGGAGACGATGCAAGAGAGCTGGCCATATAGCTTGTTGTGTTTGAATGTTAAAAGTCGGTGGTGGCAGTCCGCGTAAAAGTTCACATTGCAAGAAAACGTTTCATGGAGCAGATGAACGATTATGATGAAAAGTGCTAAAAGAAGCACTTAAGTACTTTCAACGTGGAGCACAGACTTAGTTGAAAATTGGTTGTATCAGGTTGCCCAGTATGTAGTTGATTCAGTAGAAGTGTGGTGGTTAGATATCAGAGCGATGCTTCCAATTTTCACAAAGAACCGTCATTTTTGGTGCTGTGGAGTATGACAGGAGGATATTAGTAGTTAGATATTTATGTTATTCAAGTTAATTCGTTAGCAAAGATACTTGCTGGATAGTACGAGCATTAACTTTGTGAGTTTCGTTGTACATTTTGCAATCATTGGTAGGTTGCAAACAGATCATTGCCAGATCACCGGGTGAGTTGGGTGTGGGTGTGGCTGAAGGATAGTCTAGAGAGGGAAGGTTTTATGGTCTNTAGCCAACGTAGTTTGACATCCTCTTATCAGAAAATGTTAAGAATCATCAAAGATTTTTCCAAAAGTAAGATACCAAATAAAAAAAAACCATACTATAATTGTAAATATCAGAACTTGTACTCTTTTCTATTGTATTTATTCTAATTTTGATTTTTCTGATTTATAGCAAACATTTGATAGAGGCCAAAAACGAATGTCTATAACAAAAAGTTTTCATATAGGTTTTGTTCTTATTCTTATTCCATAAATGATTGAAATTTATTCTATTTCAATTAATGGATTTTTCAATTATCGTCTAGAATGAGGAAAATCAAAATTAGAATAAATACAATAGAAAAGAGTACAAGTTCTGATATTTACAATTATAGTATGGTTTTTTTTTATTTGGTATCTTACTTTTGGAAAAATCTTTGATGATTCTTAACATTTTCTGATAAGAGGATGTCAAACTACGTTGGCTAACAGAAGTCGTTTTCTTTGTATCAAACTTCTTTTTGTTCTTATTTTACAGAAAAAAAAAATGCATTTATTTAAATAGACAATTATTTTTCAGAGTCTTTTCCGAGATATTTTATTCATCTTTCTTCTTCTCTGTATAAAAAGTAAGAAAATAAAAGATCTCTACCAGACAGAGACAAATTATAAAATGTATGAAATGAAAATACACAGCAAATTTAAAGTTGCCAAAAGATTTATTCTTGAAACATTTGCAGAATACATCTTCGTATAGACATAAGAATTTTAACCACTATATCTCTAATATATATCCTGCAAATTTCATACGATTTGAATAAGAGTAATCAAAGCTGATTTTGATGGATGGAACAAGAGTAGTGAATTCGGAAAAAAAAACTATGAAAAGATTCATTACAAAGAACATGAAATTGTTATTCTATTTGATCATTTAAAATTCTCTCTAATGGCATTGAACTAGTTAAACGAAAATTGACCAAACATGTTATACAAAGACTTTTTAAACATAAGTTATTGATTTTATTATTTACTTGAACTAATTGTTGTAATTCCAGAGTAAATCCTTCAATTGTTTCTCCATCATCTTCAGATACACTTTCATCCTTTTGTTATTTGTATGTCTTCAATATTCAAAAACAAAATGCTCACAATTCTTATTTGTTTTCTTCTATATTAATTAGAACTATGGCAAAAAAAAATAATGAAAGTTTGAAATGAGAATATGAGGCATTGTCCCATTTCATTAGAAGTATTACAGAAGCAACATTTAGCACGAAAAGAAATAACATTATTATGTATGATGATAACAAGAGCAGCAATACGATTATTTTAGTAAATATAGGTTTAATGCTAGCGATATTAACTTGACATTAATATCAATGCAGTAACTTCAATGATTGTTTTTTATTTTTCGTTGATTATTAGTGAGTGTATTAAAGATGTAAAATAATTATCATTACCATTGTCTGATCTGATATTACTTTGATTTTTCTCTGTTTCTATTTAAATAAAATAATAATGGAAAATATTAGATCAGATAATACTTACTAAATTTAGATTACGTAGAAACAAAGTAGTTTGAGATATTATTTTACAATTAATAATAGAGTTTTGTTAAATATCATAATAAACGAATGCAATCCATTGAAAGTAATATTATCGAAAATGTATTTCTTTTACATTCTTCAGCTACTGATTTCAAATTATATGCTGCACTATTTACATCAGTTGAATCAGGAAACTTAATGTCTGCATATGCCATATTTAGAAGATTGAATGATGTTCTCAGATGATTAAAACTCTAGAATAGATTCAGAAATGTTGTATATACAGTCAAACCAAAAACTGTTTAGTAGACGTCATTCTAGTTTCTTTTATATTTATTGATTTGTAAAGCAGAAACTTTTTTCATTAGTAGATATTTCTCGATTTATATTCTTTTCGATATCAAAATTATATAATGCATATGTCACTAGAGCGATTAAAACAAGCTGCATCCATTCATATGATTATCAATACCAAAAAAATAATATTCACAATAAAAACTTAGAAAAAAAATCTTTGAATATGATAGTATGGATGAAAAATCATCAAAATTTTTCTAGCATTAATTTCTAAATATACCACTCGAGAGCCTATCAAAAGTTGTATGAAATCTAGCAGTTCAAAATATTTTCAATGCAAAAACTTAAAGTTTGGAGACAAGTATTACGCTAGAATATTGATGTTACATGCAGTCCTTGAAAGAATACTCAATTGTGTTGATGAGAAAAATTAATACAAGAGAAATGTATTGTTTTGGATGCAATAGAAAAAAAAATTCTCTACAGACTCGTATATTTATCAGTCAAATATCTATGTTGTATCAAACTTTATTTCGTTGTCTTTGATCGTATCGGTTTAAAAAAGAAAAAAAAAAAAAAAGCAAAATTTTCGTTTTTCTCTCTTTTTGTGCAACACGGATTTTTTATTATTTTATTTGAAAATTAGACTATAAGCATCAAGCAAATCATTTCCACCATCATATACCAATACTATCACTCATACCTACATACTTATCTTAATTTTTCAAATAAAAACAAGAGAATTTTAATTTTTTCTTTCATCCTTTAAACCGATACCATGTAAGCAAACGTATAAGACTTAGTGCCACAAGAATATTTTATTGATAATTATACGAGTCTCTAAGGAAATTATTTTAGTCTCTCGTATGCTATACAATACACCTATCTTATATTAACTTTGTTATGAATACAATCGAGTATTCTCTCAAAGAATGCATGTAATATCAATATTCTAGTATAATACTTGTCTCTAAATTTTAAGTTTTTGCATTGAAAATATTTTGAACTGCTAGATTTCGTGCAACTTTTCATGATTTTTCAGAATGAATGCAGATTGTTTTAATCGCTCTAGTGATATACACGTGATATCATTATGAAATCGAAAATAATATAAATCGACGAATATCTACTGATGAAAAAAGCAAAATTTTATCTCTTATTTCTGCTTCATAAATCAATAAATATAAAAAATAAAGTACAAGAGTGTTCGAAAACTTATTGTTTTGATTACAGCTTGTTTAGCCATTTTGGTAGTAATCATTTGTACCGCTTCTACTGTTTCTGTACCAACTGACGGTTTGTTTTCTGCAGCTATATCAGATGGTAATTTCAGTGTTGTGTCATATGCGTTACCTACATCGATACGACTGGATATGGGTATGGGTTAGAGCCCTGCGGTTCCAAAAAATTGGAACCGAGAACCGAACCGGATCCGAAATTTTTCAGTTTCTCAGATCCGGAATCGGAACCACAACCGTGAAATAAAAACGGATAGAACCGGAACTGGAACCGTTGGAACCGAAAATTTTTTTTAATGACGACTAGGGTCATCTATATTTTGTCCTTCTTGGATTACTTTTGTTAACGAAGCTGCTGCCACTGTGATTAAACGAGAGATGATCCTTCAGCCATCCTGCACGACCTCACATGATAATCACGACCAATTAATAACTACAACAGTAACAAAGAAATTTAAGATGAATAAAGAAGATGATCAAGGATACGCCCAAAAAAAAAGTAGGGGTTCTAGGTATAGATCCCTGTACTCCCCTCAGGACCAATTTCTTACATTGAGATTTTAAAATAAACTTTGCAGTGCAGGTTTACTATAGCAATCTACTACTTTTCAAAAGTGGGAGTCCGGAATCCTTCTTGCCCCCCTCGGCACATCCCTGAAGATGATATTGTATTTTGCGAAGACGATGAAGAAAATGAAGTAGAGTATTTTTAGAATTTACTTGTTTAGTACTAATTCGATGTGAACATTTCATATTATATGGATTTTCTCATTTTTTTTTCTTGTCTACTATCTTTTGAAGCAATTGCTTTTCAATAAATTAAAAAGCATGAATAATGAAAAAAAAATTATAGAAACTTCTGAAAAAACCTAATATAAATTGTTATGTCATATGTCACCAGATGAACGGTTCCCAATCCACTTTCTAGGATCCGTCCGTAGAACCGTTTTTTTTCGATTTTGCTAAGCAGAACCAGAATCGGATCCACGGTTCCGGGTCCGGATAACATCTGAAACCGCCGGGCTTTAGTGGGGTGCGGGTGTGGATATTGGTGAAGCTGTGGGTGTGGATGTGAGTATCAATCTTCTCTTTATTTACACCCACAACCATACCCACACTCCACCGACACCCATATCCACACCCCACACCCACACCACATCCACAACCACACTCACACCAGCCACACCCACCCTCAAGGGGAAAAGACTGCAAGTGGTACAAGGAATATAAGGCTACATGGACTATAAAAATATGTGCACTAGAAGAGTATGAGGCGGTAAGGTCTCGATCTGTATCCATAATATCGCATACCTATATCTCTGTTATCGGATGAAAATAACACGATTGCTGTTTACATAATTAAAATTATAATTATGGCTTCTGTTTTTAACTAGTGCTCTCAGCTACTTACAGTTTAAAGATTATGATTGATCACATGATAAAAAATTTATTATTTCATGTATTCGATATCAACGTTTGCAGATGAATACGTTAAGAAGTATTCAAAGTAGATTGAGGAACTTTGCTTTTGCTGAAGTACAGGACGAGAAAAATACTGATATTTTCCTCTATTCTATCTAACATACCAATAAATCGAACTGATTGTCCTTTCAACTGAATTAAATTTACTCAAAAGTATTAAAAAGTTAATGAAGTTGAAAGTTATAACCATTTTAATTTTTTCTAATTTTCTCAGCTTTTAACTTTTACAAAAAAATAGCTTTCACTCTCACACTGATCTGTTACAATATACAATCATTAAAAGTTTCATAAAGAAGTTTGTACCAGTGAAACATGATTAACATAAGTAACTTAAAATATATTTTGTATATTTTAACTAGAAAAAATTTTTTACTTAAAGAGAATTTCATGATAATTTAGTAATCTTGTGTTTAGATTTATTCTTTCGTAATTGTTCGTAGGCTATAAAAAAAAAGTCAGCTAACATATTCAATCATTTCATCTTACAGTTTCAGTTCATCAACTGTAATAAATATTGCGGATATTTGAAAAACTTTCTGTATTTATTTTAGTATCATAAATTAACAAAACAATTGACATTAGTTCTTAAAATGAATATATATCATCATATATTTTATTCTATAAGAATCGTATTAGAACAATTATTTATCCAATATTTATTTCTCATAATTGTAAGAGTAATTAACTCGAGTTAAAAAACTCAAAATCATATGAACATTCTTATCAAATATCATTTTAGTCAGATAAAATAATTTTTAACTTTCAATAAATCATTTCTATTTCATATAAATAAAAAAATTTAGTCAATATATATCAAATGTAATATGCAGAACAAAAGAGAAACAAACATAATATAATTTTTTCATTCATTCATTCACTCATAGTCAACTTTGATTATAGAAAAAAACATATCATTGTTTTCATTGACGATTAAGGTCAAGTACAGTCTGTATATAAATGGTCACATTTCGAAGTTATGAATGAATATACATAGACGACAAAAGTTATGAAACACCCATTGGTTAAATTAGATGATTTACCTAATGAAATTCTTATTTATATTTTTAAAAAAATGGACAATGATCAAGCACTATATTCTTTAATGGATGTTAATAAACGGCTCAATACAATTGTATATGATTCAATATTTACAAGTCATTTAACATTAATGAGTCGTTCTTCAAATGATTCTATCAATTCATTATCTGATACTGTACTTGATCGGTTTTATTTTTCAATTTTACCTTTAATTCATCATAAAATCCAATGGCTCAATGTTGAATCATCATCTATAGAACGTATTCTTCTTTGTGGAAATTATCCTAATTTATATGGAGTCGGTTTATATAATCTTGAAATAGAAAGAGCGAAACATCTGTTTACTGGTAAGATATTTCATTTTACTTGTCATTGATTGGTGAAGAAAAAGGGTAGAGTAGAAATGACTATTAGTGTTCATTTCATCAATTGAGTAGATCATTGAATACTCTATTGATAATAAATTAGTTTTATCAAAAACATATAACTTAAAAATTAATATAAATGTTTTATATCGAAAATGAGATTTTATCGAATAATGTATATCGATTCATTTTCTTCTGAAGACTTTTATATTTATATTTAGATGGAAATATTTTCACTGATTTATTTAAAAATCAAATTTTATCTCTTATTATCTGTATGATTAAAAGTAAAAAACAAGCTTCAACAAAAGATGAGAATACAATTTTATTTACACGTATCCTCACTGTATTTCCCAATCTACAGTATTTAAACTTTGAATCATCGTCATTTTACTCTCCATACTGCTCATTCGATAAGTTACATCCGAATTGTATTTATTCAACTCTCTTAGAACTATATATCAATGTAATGCATTTCAGCGATTGTCTTTATTTACTTAATGGACAGTTTAATCAACTTCAAGTATTTCATGTTAGAATCTCTTGGATTTATCGTTTTTCAAGTCTAACAATCAATAATACGGTAGATTGGATTTGATTTATTCAAATAAAGTTCTATGTGTTCTTTTTTAGGAAAATTTACCAAATTTAAAATGTTTTTCATTATATTCTGATATAGATACAAGTTTTTATGATCAATTAATTGTTCCACTTTTACATCGAATGTTGAATTTAGAAAAACTTAATCTATATCTTATAATTTGTGGTAAGAAAACATTTATTGATGGAAATGATTTGAAAAAAAATATTATCAATCATATGCCGCAGTTAAATAAATTTACGTTTAATATTCGGTCTACTGTTCGTCTTCATAATGAAATTAATTTACTATCAAAGGAAGATATTCAATATACATTCAATGATTTTGAAAATAAACAAATTATTTCTTGTGTCGATTATTTTTCCGAGCTTGAACAAAGTGAATGTCATATTTATTCATATCCATATGAATGGAAAGAATATCATAAAATAACAAATAATTTTCCTGGTGGAACATTTAAATATGTTCGTGAAATATCATTATTTGATGAACAACCTTTTGAACATGAATTTTTTTTTCAAATTTCTCAATCATTTCCATTCATGAAAAAATTAACTTTAATTAATGAAAAACCAAAAAATAATAAACAATCTAGAAAATTAGATGATGATAATAATCAACATTTATCAATCATTGAGTATCCATATCTTTTTG